AAGACATGTCAGATACAATTATAACAGTGTAGGACAGCGAGGGTTTATCTCAAATTAACAATGCAGCATGTAAAGCTGCCCTAATAACAATGTGTTCATAATCATGTAACTTCAATCGAACCATTATAAAAAAAATGTAACTTCAATCGACAGGCGAAACTCCAACAGATTTTATTTGCAATAACATTGACCAGCAGAACCTAACTCAAAACTACATACCTTGATAAAGTGTTGTCCATTGAAAATGTAATTATCTGCCTCAAAACAGCATATTCTTCACATAGGCCACCTAATTTCGGCACATCATGTCTAATGCTTTTCCCAGTCTCACTTCCAATTTGCATAGATGGAAACATCCTTTTCTTAGGGGTTTCATCTGCTGAGTTTTCTGGCTTACAAAAGTACACTTGTGTTTCATGATTCAAGAGCATAGCATCATTCCCAAGGTTTACCAATTTCGGTTTTTGGAAGTAAATACTGTTCCTTTCACCTATCATGGCTTGGCCGTCATCATTAGCTGTAAAATTGCTATAATTCGCCACACGGAAAATGACGAGCTCCGACATCACTGGGATGGCAACAAGGTTCCCACAAATCAAAATACGAGAGCATAACCATGAAGCAGCAGACACCTGCAGAAGCTTTTTTGCATTTTCATCCTTAAGTACCTCGCTAATTTCAAATGAATCAGAAAATGTACCCTGGGGATATGATAAACTAAACCCTGCTTCTTCAGGTTTTGGTGAAGCTACATGACCAGAAGAACTAGGAGATCTGTGCTTTGTTTGACACGATGGTGTCCTAGGTGATGAAAGTACACCATTTGCAGATGAATCATGTGGTTTTCCTCCGCTTATCATTTGCACTCTATCTTTCAAAGGGGCTAGGTCCAAGTACAACTCATTGCAATGGCTAATACATAGTTTGGCTCTATCATCTCGTTTATTAATTTGATTCATCTGACTAGTACGGTCTATAGGATAAATATAAGCAACCGTGTCAGAAACAGGACAACCCATTGTGTACCACAGATCTGTGGACAACCGCACTCCAGTCTTTACGGCCTGCAGAAAGATTAGTTGTCACTCCAGTGAGCCAATGATGCCACTTAAACCACAGTCGATGAGCATAATGCAAATATTTGGTTTGCAGAGAAATCTAACTGCTGTTGTAACAGCGAAATGGAGAATCAGTCAAACCTTGCACGAGGGAAAAACAGTAGCAAGTGCAAAGTAGTTTCCAGCTGCATAAGTCAGTTCATCCATCGAGTCCAGGCCAAGTTGTGTATTGGATTCACTCGATATTTCTCTGAGAGGAAAAACATTACTTGCTGAAGCAGCAACTGAGACCTGCAGTAGAATTAACATTAGATATCCAGCAATAGAACATGATAAAGACAGTAAAGCAATAAACTTGTACAACTACATCAAAGAGAAACGCAAACTAGACGATAGTGATTTACCGAGACAACAGAGCCAGGGAGAATAGAGGAAGCAACCATGGAAGACTCCGAGAGCCAGATTTTACCACCTCTAGAATCAGGCACTACATCGGTAATTCGGCCAACCAAAGCGGATTTGTCAATCAAATGGGGGAATCTGCTCGATGCTTCTCCCAAAGAGAAGGATACATCTTCCTCATCAAGTTGAGAACTCGGAGATGGTGTGAAAGACGGTGTCCGAGGCGAAGATGCAGAAAAATCCGAATTCGACAGCCTAGACTGTCCTTTGGACTGTTGCTTCTTAGTCTTTGAAGGCATTTATTCTTTCTCGCTCCTTAAAAAAACCAGCCTAAACAGAGGAAGCAGCTGCAAATCATCAACATGGTCAACAGTAAGGATTTCGCTGAAGCACAAATCATTCAGGACAAATGACCTCAGAGATACAGAATTCTTGGCCAATAGCGACTAAGGAAAGACAGCCTGTTGATTTCTCTCAATTACAATATGGAGGGTACTATATGTTCTCTAAACATGCAGAACGAGATCCAACAGGAAACACTTAACCCAGAGATGAGAAATTCAGCAGAAGCAGAAGGAGAAGCAGACAGCTGAGAAAAGGAAAAAAAGTGAAAATAGGACTTGCTTGACGATGAAGAGGAGCTTCCTTATTTTATCTATTCCAGCAAGATAAGAGAGAAGGGAGAAGGCGCCGGACGAGAGGGAGACGGCAAGGGTGACTTCTGCTTCAACCGATGGTCGGCTTTGGAGGGAGAAGGAAGCGCGAGGGTTTTGTTCGCCAAATCCCGAATTGCAGAACTTAAAATTTTGAATACCTAATAAGCCCCTAAACAGACTAGTTATTCTGCTAACTTGAAAATTCGTTAGTATATACTAACTAATATCCAAAATATATGAACTAATATCCAAGTCTGCTGAGTATCTAGATAACACATATTAGTATTCAAAACATGACAAACTAGTATTCAGATAGCAGATACCAACTAATATCCACAATCAACCAACTAGTATTCAATATGGATACTCTTATGTGTTATTTGGATACTCTTAAGTGTTATCGGGATACTAATTATGTGTTATATGGATACTATTCTGTATTGTCTAGATATTAGTTTGTGAATTTGGGATAATAGTTGATTCATGGTGGATATCAGTTAGCAAACTTTGAATACTAGTCTGTGCTCTCTAGATACTTTAGTACTTGGATACTAGTTCATGTATTTTGGATATCAGTTAGTATTTGCTAACGTATTTTCAAGTTAGCAGATTAACTTTCCCCCTAAAAACTACGGCTTCCCTCTTTTTTATAGAAAATCACTTAAAAACATATCTGAATCATTATTAGTCGTACTAATATTTGAACGGGTTAACCTTTCAAAAAAAATATATATATATATATATTTGAATGGGTCAAGATCAGGTGACTAAGGGGGTCCCTTACTCAAATGGCTAAGTGAATCTCAGCCACTCAAACTCATTAAAATCCAAGAGTTCCAATTAATCCAATTTAATGAAGGATAATGTGGTAATTGCATGTTTGTTTATAAAATTAAAAAAATGCAAGCGCTACGTCTCCGTCCCCTTGCACCGGCTAGTCACCGTCCTCCCCCGTTTGCGCCGATCAGTCAAATTTTCGGCGGCAGTTCCGTCCAATTTTGGGAACATGCATGCTTCCTTTAATTCCCAGCAGGACAGAGAGATCCAATTTGTGGGAACATGCATGCTTCCTTTCCTAGGAATTTTCCCAGAGAGAGAGAGTTTTTTCCGGCGACCGGAGGAAATTTCCCGGCGACAGTGTTGGATTTGTGATGTTTGTTGATCTATTTTGTAATGTTTGTATAGATTCGGTTTGTATCGTTTGTCATTTTTAGTGACATTTTGTATGTTAGTATGCTTTGTACTGCTTGTCAGTTTATTTTGTAATGTTTGTATGCTTTGTTATTTTGTAATGTTTGTCGGGTTTTTTTGTAATGTTTGTAAACTTTGTTATTTTTGTGCACCATGTTTATCATTTTTGTCAACCATGTTTGTAATGTTTTTTATGTCTAAAAAACAACCTGGTTGACTTTTGGATGGAACTCCTCTATATAGGGATGGAGCCTCCAAAGTCAACCCGAGTGTTTTTTCTAGTTCGTATGGATTGTCGGTCTAGTTTATCATTTTTGTCCACCATGTTCGTAATGTTTGTATGTCTAAAAAACAAACGAGTTGACTTTGAGACGGAGCCCTCTATATAGGGATGAAGCCTCCAAAGTCAACCCGGGTGTTTTTTCAGTTTGTATGAATTTTTGGTCTAGTTTGTCATTTTTGTCCACCATGTTGGTATGTCTAAAAAACACCCGGGTTGACTTTGGGAAGGAGCCCCTCTATATAGGGATGGAGCCTCAAAAGCATGGTTCAAGAAGGCGCGCCTAGGCGCACGCCTAGGCTCAATTAGGCGGTAGGCGGTAGAGGATCGCCTTGACTTGGCCATAGGCATTGTAAAAGGCGCTGGTAGCGCTTAGTAGTTAGGAATAGCGCTTAGTTTGCGCCTAGTGGAGAGAAGGCGTGCCTGGGCGAGCTTAGGCGGTTAAACCCAATACTCTTCGTTTTGTCCTAGAAAATCAGAAACTTGCCTCTTTCCCTAGAAAATCAGAAACACAGGAAGTAACATCTGCTCTCGCCTGCCACCCTAGCTCTCGCCCCATCTGCTACCGCCTGCCGCCCTAACTCTCGCCCCATTTGCTGCTCTCTCCCGCCGCAGGAGAAAGTCATCGATCACTCTTCTCGCCTTCACACCGCTCCGCTGCTATAGTGGGAAATAAAGTCGAAACTCGTCAATTGCTGCTCCTTCCTTCTCCTCGGTACGTAGCACAAGCTTCTTGCCTCTATAAGCACCTATTTGCAGATGATTGGTCACTATTTGCTTGTTATTTGTTATGTTAAGTGTTTACTGTTAAGAACTAGACATTGCTAATTTTATATGCTCTTGGATTATATGAATTATTCTAGAAAACAGGAAATATTTGAGAATTTTTCCATTTATGCTCTGAACGCCTAGGCGCACATAAGCTACGCCTAATCGGGCAAGGCGCAAGTCAGGAGCCGAGCGCATGCCTTACGCCTAGCGCCTTTTAGAACCTTGCTCAAAAGTCAACCTGGTTGTTTTTTCTTTTTGTATGGTTTGTATTGTTTGTCGGTCTAGTTTGTATTTTTTGTACAGTTCATATGTTTGTAAATTTGTTTGTATGTTTTGTCGCTCTAGTTTGTACTGTTCGTATGTTTGTATGGTTTGTACTCATTGTAAGGCCGGTTTGTATACTTCGTAATTTTCCATAATACCCAAACTACCCATGTCATTAGTTAAATAGTCATTCCCACTTTTTAACCATCATATTGCTATATCCAGATCTAAGAGCTAGGAGGGGCTTAGTCAAGTGACTAAGTGTTGGGTTGGTCCAACTCATATGGTGGTTGGATTAACCGGTTTGAGTTTGGGTTCTTGGTTGGTTTCTAGAAGATCCTCTATTTTCAAAATAGAGAGTTATTGTCTTGTAAAAGTGAAAAGAGAGGACAGCCTTTCATTTGTAGAGAGAGAATCAAGAAAAGAGAAGAGATAAGAAAAAAGAGAGAAGAGAGGAAGAGCTGCAGTTTTCGTTTCTGCAGCAGGGCAGTCTGCTCAAGTGAGCGTTCTGGAAGATTGCACCGTTGGATCGTCCTGAAATTTGGACAGTAGGTTTGCGATTCTTTGGGCTTCATTCTGACCGGAGGGATCGTCATTCTGAGGTCTAGTTCGTCGGAATCGTTCCTGGACAGAAGGTGTACGAATCTGTTTTTTTGTATCTCTAAACCTCTCTTTGCCTTGCTCTTGTTCTTGTTATCCACCATGTTGGTGAGAGCTATTATGGTTGATTGTTGATCCAAGAAGGGTGTTCTTGAGGTATTTGTAATCCTCTAGCTAGTCTAGAGAGGACTTGTAATCCCACCAAAGTCTAGTGGAGTTGTGGCTTGGACAAAGGTCCCGTGGTTTTTCCCGATTTGGGTTTTCCACGTAAAAATCGTTTGTCTTGTCATTCTATTCTTGCTTGTGGTTGCTGCCCGGTTTCTCAACAGTGGTATCAGAGCATTAGGTTGTTTTGGGGGCTGTGTTTGGTGAATGGCAAGAATGGATGACTCAAGTGGAGCAATGATCAAGTTGACATCATCCAACTACTCTATTTGGAAGCCACGGATGGAGGATATTCTGTTTTGCAAGGATCTCTATGAGCCAATTGAAAATGGCAGCAAGAAGCCGGAAGACAAGACCGAGAAGCAATGGGAAGTCTTGCATAGAAAGACGGTGGCAATCATTCGACAATGGATTGACCAAAGCATTTTTCATCATGTTGCAAAAGATACAAGAGCAGATGAATTGTGGCAGAAATTGGAGTCCATGTATGAGAGGCAATCGGCTCAAGATAAAGCCTCACTCATTCGAAGAATTGTGAACTTGAAGTACAAGGATGGGCATAGTGTCTCTGAGCATTTGAGTGACTTTCAAGGGCTTGTGAACCAGCTAACTACTATGAAGTTAGCACTTGATGATGAAGTGCAAGCATTGTTACTTCTCAGTTCTTTGCCGGATAGTTGGGAGACTTTGGTGGTCTCACTTAGCAACTCAGCACCTAATGGCAAGTTGACGATGGACATTGTCAAGGATAGCATGCTGAATGAAGAGGCAAGAAGAAAAGAGTTGGGTATTACATCGGAGTCACATGCTTTGGTGGCGGATAATTCTGGAAGTCGTGGAAGAAGTAGAAATCGAAATTTCAACTTCAAGAACTCTCAGAATCGAAGTAACAGCCGAGGGAGATCAAAAGGGAGATCGAAATCATTGTCAAGACCAAGAGGAGATATCACATGTTATCATTGCAACCAGCCCGGACACATGAAGAGAGAGTGCATAATCTTGAAACGGGAACAAGCTAGAGGAAAAGGTGTGGAAAACCGAGAAAAAGATGATACTACTGCTGCTGCCACAGATGGTGATGTAGTCATTGTTAGTGATGCCGGTTTTGTTAACCTTGCTTGTCAAGAGAGTACATGGGTTATTGACTCGGGTGCCTCATTCCATGTGACCTCACGGGTTGATTTTTTCTCTTCCTACACAAATGGTAACTATGGTTGTGTGAGGATGGGAAATGATGGCACATCAAAGATTGTTGGCATGGGTGATATTCATCTAGAGACCAACACGGGTTGCAAGCTAGTCTTGAAGGATGTGAGACATGTTCCTGACATGAGGCTGAATTTGATATCCACGGGAAAACTTGATGATGATGGTTATACCAACTATTTTGGAGAAGGAAAATGGAAGCTCTCAAGAGGTTCTCTTGTGGTGGCTAAAGGCAAGAAGGAAAGTACGCTCTACATGACGAATGCAAAGCATAGCAAGGGAGGAATCAATGTTGCTGAGAAAGATTCTTTCATTGAGCTTTGGCATAAGAGACTCGGTCATTTGAGCGAGAAGGGGCTGCAAATACTCTCCAAGAAACAACTCTTGCCCGGAGCTAAAGGTACTCTTCTTAAAACTTGTGTTGATTGCTTAGCCGGAAAAACTCACAGAGTTGCATTTCATAGATTTCCACCTTCTAGAAGGAGTAAGGTACTTGATCTAATTCACACCGATGTTTGTTTTATGCGAGATAAAACTCTTGGTGGTGCAAGCTATTATGTTACCTTCATCGATGATCACTCAAGGAAGGTGTGGACATATGCTTTGAAAACGAAGGATCAAGTGCTAGATGTTTTCAAGCAATTTCATGCTGAAGTGGAAAGGGAAACCGGCCTCAAGTTGAAGTGTGTAAGGGCTGATAACGGGGGAGAGTATAGAGGTCCATTCGAAAGCTACTGCAGATTGCACGGAATTAAACTGCAGAAAAGTGTACCCAAGACTCCACAACAAAACGGTGTCGCCGAGAGGATGAATAGAACAATTTGTGAGAGAATCAAGTGTATGCTCTCACATGCCAAGCTACCTAAATCATTTTGGGGAGAAGCAATGCGGACAGCCGTTGATCTAATCAACCTTTCTCCATCGGTCCCTTTGGAGGGTGACGTGCCTCAACGAGTTTGGACGGGAAAGGAAGTCTCATATGAGCACTTGCGAGTGTTCGGTTGCAAAGCTTATGTTCATGTTCCAAAAGATGAGAGAGCAAAGCTTGATGACAAAGCAAAGCCATGTATATTCATGGGCTATGGGCATGAAGAGTTTGGGTACAGATTATGGGATCCAATTGCAAGGAAAATTGTTCGGAGCCGGGATGTGATTTTTCTTGAAGATGAGACAAGTGAAGATGTCGAAAGGGGTGAAAACAAGAAAAATACAGCAGCTAGTTCGGTTAATTTGGAGCCTATATCTCCATCCCAAATGCATGAAAATGTTGAGGAAGTAGTGCATAATGAGCCCCAAGGTGCGCTAGATCAAGAAGTGCAAGGAGAAGAGCAATTGGAGCAAGAAGAACAAGTTGAAGAAGAGCAACCTCTACCCGAACCAAGAAAGTCAACAAGAGATCGCAAAACTTCCACTTGGTACTCCCCTCATGAGTACCTATTGTTGACTGACGGGGGAGAACCCGAATATTATCAAGAAGCCATGTCTCATGAAGACAAGGAGGAGTGGAACAAAGCAATGCAAGAAGAGATGAAGTCTTTGCAAGAGAATCACACCTATGATTTGGTGAAACTACCCAAAGGAAAAAGATCACTTAAGAACAAGTGGGTCTACAAGTTAAAGACGGAGGAAACTAGTTCAAAGCCTCGGTTTAGGGCGCGACTAGTTGTGAAGGGTTTCAACCAAAAGAAAGGTGTTGACTTTGAAGAAATTTTCTCTCCCGTGGTGAAGATGTCCTCTATCCGAGTTGTGCTTGGGTTGGCTGCAAGTTTGGACTTAGAAGTTGAACAACTCGATGTAAAGACGGCGTTTCTTCATGGTGACTTAGAAGAAGAGATATACATGGATCAGCCGGAAGGGTTTGAGGTTAAAGGCAAAGAAGATCTTGTATGCAGATTGAGAAAGAGCTTATATGGGTTGAAGCAAGCACCAAGGCAATGGTACAAGAAATTTGACTCATTCATGGTCAAAAATGGGTATGCAAGAACTACCTCCGATCATTGTGTGTTTGTGAAATACTTTGCTGAAAATGATTTCATCATTCTCTTGCTTTACGTGGATGACATGTTGATCGTGGGTCGGAATGTTGGAGAGATTGATAGATTGAAAAAGGAGTTGAGTTAATCCTTTGCCATGAAGGACTTAGGACCGGCGAAACAAATTCTAGGGATGAGAATCTCTAGGGATCGAAAGAATGGAAAAATTTGGTTGTCTCAAGAAATGTATATTGAAAGAGTTCTTGAGCGGTTCAACATGAGCAAGGCTAAGGTGGCTAGTACTCCACTTGGAGGACATTTCATATTGAGTTCGAAGCATTGTCCAACAAGTGAGAAAGAGAAAGAAGCAATGAAGAATGTGCCTTATGCATCAGCTGTTGGGAGCTTGATGTATGCCATGGTTTGCACAAGACCGGATATTGCTCATGCCGTTGGGATTGTCAGTCGGTTTCTTTCCAATCCGGGGAAAGAACATTGGACAGCAGTGAAGTGGATTCTTCGCTACTTGAGAGGTACTTCTAGAGTGTGTCTATGCTTTGGTAATGGCAAGACCATACTTGATGGATATACCGATGCTAACATGGCAGGTGATGTGGACTCTAGAAAGTCGACTTCTGGATACATGATGACTTTTGCAGGTTCTGCAGTTTCATGGCAATCTAAACTGCAAAAATGTGTTGCATTATCAACAACAGAAGCCGAGTACATAGCCGTGACAGAAGCTTGCAAAGAGATGTTATGGTTGAAGAAGTTTCTTCAAGAGTTGGGCATCAAGCAAGAGAGGTATGTGCTCTATTGTGATAGTCAAAGTGCAATCCATCTTTGCAAGAATCCTACTTTCCACTCAAGGTCGAAGCACATAGATGTTCGATATCATTGGATTCGTGATGTTTTGGAAGAGAAGTTGTTGGAGCTCAACAAAGTGCATACGGATGACAATGGTTCGGACATGATGACTAAGTCTCTACCAAGTGGAAAACATATCTTCTGTCGAGATGAAGCAGGTTTGGTGCTACCCCCCATATGAGCTGGAGGGGGAGATTTGTTGGGTTGGTCCAACTCATATGGTGGTTGGATTAACCGGTTTGAGTTTGGGTTCTTGGTTGGTTTCTAGAAGATCCTCTATTTTCAAAATAGAGAGTTATTGTCTTGTAAAAGTGAAAAGAGAGGACAGCCTTTCATTTGTAGAGAGAGAATCAAGAAAAGAGAAGAGATAAGAAAAAAGAGAGAAGAGAGGAAGAGCTCCAGTTTTCGTTTCTGCAGCAGGGCAGTCTGCTCAAGTGAGCGTTCTGGAAGATTGCACCGTTGGATCGTCCTGAAATTTGGACAGTAGGTTCGCGATTCTCTGGGCTTCATTCTGACCGGAGGGATCGTCATTCTGAGGTCTAGTTCGTCGGAATCGTTCCTGGACAGAAGGTGTACGAATCTGTTTTTTTTTGTATCTCTAAACCTCTCTTTGCCTTGCTCTTGTTCTTGTTATCCACCATGTTGGTGAGAGCTATTATGGTTGATTGTTGATCCAAGAAGGGTGTTCTTGAGGTATTTGTAATCCTCTAGCTAGTCTAGAGATGACTTGTAATCCCATCAAAGTCTAGTGGAGTTGTGGCTTGGACAAAGGTCCCGTGGTTTTTCCCGATTTGGGTTTTCCACGTAAAAATCGTGTGTCTTGTCATTCTATTCTTGCTTGTGGTTGCTGCCCAGTTTCTCAACACTAAGCACCCCCTTACTCACTGGATCCTCTCTCATTTTAAAGCCCTACCGTACCAGGATGACACACAGAGCCCTAGCCCCAATTCAAACCTAAATCCTAGAAACAAACAATCCCTCTCCCGGCCTGCCCATATTCGACAGTCAGATCACCTTCCTGAAACCCACCACCGCCTAACCCATAACCCTCCGCTGGCATACTCACCTCCTCATGCCGCCTAACCCACCTCCCTCACGTCGGCAAACCCAAAACCGGAGGATGAAGAAGGAAGACTGAGGTCGAAGCAAAGAACCCTCCCGCCGTTGGATGGAGAACGAAGAAGGAAGGAGGAGGTCGGAGCCGCTGCCGCCGTCGATTTGCTAGCGACCTCGAATTGGCGGAGCAGCTTTCTCTCTGACGCGCTGGTTAATTAATCTCTAGACCAGGGCGAATCCTTCCTGTTGGTTTTGCAGACGAAAAGCTCCTTCCATTTCGTTGCAACCGACGACGATTTGATGACCTTGTTGTACGAGCACCTACAGTTAGTAGGTGCCAAGTTAATTTAATGGCAATGGCAATGCAATTATGCCGCCGGCGTCTACCTCGTTGGCCAGTTACATGGATCACTACCAGAGCAGGCGCGGGGAGGATTCCAGGTTGCAGATATCACAACATCCAGATGCTAGCCTCTCACTTGCTCAATTCCAGGCGAGATGCAAGGGAATTCCTCTTAGGATGAAGTTAGAGTTTATAGGCCAGTGAACAATTATGAAATAATGATGTAAAATTAGTGACCAATAAAGAAGAAAAAAATTTTGAATGGCAAAAATGAAACAAATTAATAAATCGAGTGACCAAACATGCAATTCACCTGAACTAAGGACATTAAAGTAAATTTAACTTAGTTAGTGTGACGAATAAATATTTTTAGCGCGATAAATAGGGGTTAAATGTATCACTTGCCACATAAGTATAGTATATGTTGCATAAGCACTTAATTTGTTTTTGTTGCAACTAAATCATGTAAATCGGATTTCGGTTCCAACTAAACCATATAAAACGAATTATAGTTGCACCATCACATTTCTCATCCACAAAAATAACAGCGGGTACCAAATGGGAATCATTGACATACCATTTTGAAGAAAATAAAACCTACATAATCATTATTACTCAAATATCAAATTTATGTGACCTTTTTTTAAATAATTATTCCTTTCCCAGTCTCGTCGCTACTTCTCCTTCCTCGCCTCAACACCGTCCTCTTCCATTCCACAAGAGGAACTGTAGAAGAATTGAAATCCTAAATGCGTGTCTTCTTTCCATTCAGTCATAAACCGCGTTTACAAATCCCATAACATAACTGGAATCACGGTTTCAATAGAGGCACGTGACTTCGACTTGGTGACCTTATTGTTAGTGCTGTGAACTACGGAATTCAAGTTGTTGTTGTTGTTGCGGCGGGCTTTGGGAGTGGGGAGGGGTTGTTTTCCTGGTCAAAGAAGTAAGAGATAGGAGTCGGAGCCGGCAATCCAGATTTCTAGTTGTCCCGCCAAAAATTGGCGGGGAGGAGAGAGGATTACTTGGAGGAGCTTGGAGTCAAAAAAGATAAGGTCCTCCCACCTACTGTTGGGAGGACGTCCTCCCAGCGGAGAATATGATATTTGTGTAATGATAATCTAGTATAAGATCTACATGAATACATACTGGTCGAACAAGAAAAATGTATTCTTATAATAGATAGTAGTATGAAATCAAGTTTTCAAGAATATGATATTTATGTTATGAGAATATGATATTCTTGAAAGCTTGATGATATTTATGTTATGAGAATATGATATTCTTGAAGGCTTGATTTCATACTACTATCTATTATAAAAATACATTTTTCTTGTTGGACGAATATGTATTCCTGTAAATCGTATACTATATTATCATTACACAAATATCATATTCTCCGTTGGGAGGACGTCATCCCAACAGTAGGTGGGAGGACTATATCCGATCTGGGGGAGTGGGATTGAAGTTACAAGCATGAAAGAGGGTGATGAGGTGATGGAGGAGAAACAGAATATCACATATTGGAAGAGTGGTAATTATTCAAAAATGACAAGATAAGTTTGACTTTGGTGCAAAATGGTCATGTAGATTTTATTTTCTCCAAAATGGTAGCACGATAATTTCAGTTTAGTACCTACCGTTAAGTATGTGGATGGGAATTGGGATGGTGCAACTAGTGCAACTAGAATTCGAATTGTATGGTTTAGTTACAACCAAAATTCTACTTATATGATTTTCTAGCACGTCCAAAACATGAAGGTGGTCTTGGCATTCGAGACTTCAGGATCTGGAATCTGGCTTGTGTCTCTCGCCACATTTGGGATATACTTGCAGGAGAAGGCTCTCTTTGGGTCGCGTGGGTCAGAAGGTATAGAGTCAAGCATCACAGTTTGTGGCACTTGGCTGGTACCTCTACTGGCACTTGGATTTGGAAGAGGATATTGAAATGCAGATCAATTGTTTCTCCTTTTATAACAGGTTCTGGTCCTTGTTTGAAATGGGATGGTGAGGTGATGTCACGATATTCTGTTACTAAAGTCTGGAAATCGATAAGAATAGCTTCAAATGTTGTGGACTGGTTTCAATTAGTGTGGAACAAGGATGCTATTCCCATACATGCTTTCTTGCTGTGGCTGGCTCTGCAAAATAGGTTGGTCACACAAGATAAGCTTATTTGTTGGGGCAAGAATGTGTTGGGTTTATGTCTGCTTTGCCCGGGGGAATCGAGTCTATAGATCATCTATTTGTACAATGCCCCTATGGAGATGGTATTTTGCGAAGTTGCTTGGAACACTTGATGATTCCAGTTATGAGTTCCTGGGGTGACAGAGTTGATTGGTGTTCTGACCACTGGTCTGGGAAATCTGCTGCTGCTCGAGTGGGTCGCCTGGTTTGGAGCTTGATGGTAAGTATGGTATGGAGAGAGCGATGTGCTTGATTTTATAGTGATGTGGCTGCTAAATCCCCTGAAGTTATATGCAGGTAGATATTTATTGATGTCTATTTCCATGTCAATAGAATCCAGGATCTCCAGATTTGTATTCATAGCCTTAGATTGAGATGGTATACGAGGTTATCCTCTTAGTGGGAGAGGGTGATAGAATTTTTGTTTTGTTTTCTTTGTGAGCAAGCATAGGAATGTAATTGTTAGTACTGTTTGAGAGGCGGCTAGGAAATTTTCCTAAGTCTGCTCGTTCTTAATGCTAATTTTTTATTTAACCATAAAAAAAACTTCCGTTGGCAAACCATGCATTTAACCCCGATAAATAGCAATGACCCAACTTATTGGGTTGGTTTGGATAAGGTCGATCCCATTCAACACCAACCTACCCAATGTCGTCCGTCGCTCAGATGTTGTTGCTTCCGGTTGGCACCCAATTCTTCTCATCCCGTTGAGATTTCCCTCCACACCCAAACCTGCTCTCCTGTCGTCGATTCCTTCCCACTGCCACCAGGAATTTGAAGGTCACTCCAACCTGGTCTCTCGCTATCGATTTCTTCCCACCGCCGTATGGAATTTGAACACTGGCCTAGTGACAGTGGCGTTCTACAATTCACAAACCCCGAAACCCTAGCGCTCGAATGGTGTTCATCAATTAAACCCTCAAAAGAATTGCAGTTTCACCAAAGGTTACTTTCACACGAGAGTCTCCTTGTTAAGCTCGGCGATCCTCCTAGTAACAGCATGAGACCACAGAGGCGGTGACGGAGTTAGAGGAGGACGAGAAAGTGGTCGGAAAGGTGATGCACGAGGTTTTCGTGGCGAGCGTGCCATGGACGAGGATGCTAGGAGCGGCTGCGATTATGCTTGGTGTGGGGGACGATTGTTATAACTGATGTTTCTGAATGGGAGGATGGTTGGTGGGGACAAACACAAAATTGGAAGGGGAGCAGTGGTCTTGTAGGGACAAAAACCATAAAGGTATATGTGCTTGGTAAGAAATCACGGAGAGAGATGATGGACGGAATATTACTGCAAATCGTAGTTGCTCTACAGAAAAAAGAAGCCATCGAAGGAGATTGGTAGAAGACAATGGCCATTATGGTCAATAAACATTGTGGGCCCAAATCCCAGATGTGTAAACAAACAAACTATTTCTCTAAAATCACTTATATCAATTATCAGGCTTTTTAGCTGAGGAATTTTAACTCAAATCTCTCACAAATCTCCCATAAACCAATTTCCCATTCAAACGATCCACTGGAGTCTGGAGAGATTGTGGATGTGAGAAATTTTGAAAGCAGATCAAATCCTCTTGAATAGACTATCCAAAGGGTCTATCAACCTATCCCTCTTCAAGAGGATTTGGTATGCATTATTTCAAAATAATAATATGAGTTTGAATGGAAAATCTAGAATTAGTTTGGAATCTCGATTAAAGCAGACCAAATCCTCTTGAATAGACTATCCGAAGGGAGATTATCCTCAGTCGAAATAGAATACCAAAGTATTACTGTAAAGACTACCACTACCAGATTGGATTCCATGACAGAGTAGTGAATCGATTCACTATTCGGGCAATCGATTTACTACCACCAATTGAAGGCACTATATCAACCTATCCCTCTCCTAGGTCAAAGCAATAATTGAAGAATATGATCAAGATTCAAACAATTTCATGAACAAACTTCAATTGGATAAATAATATCAAGTTTTATAAACAAAAGATTAAGCACAATTAATCCTAACACATGGAACTAAGGTTCTTCATACCTAAGTGAGAGAGTTGATTACT